ATTTTATTTATTTATTTTGACAGAGAGAGAGAGACAGCGAGAGAGGGAACACAAGCAGGGTAAGTGGGAGAGGGAGAAGCAGGCCTCCCATGGAGCTGGGAGCCCAACGTGGGGCTGGGATCATGACCTGAGCCGAAGGCAGATGCTTAACGACTAAGCCACCCAGGCACCCCTCCAGCTTTTTTTTTAAAGACTTCCTCTTCTCATATGATTGGAAAAAAGTTGTTCTCCATTGGGATTAAATTTTAATTTCTCTAAGTTTTCAGGCTTGAAGTTAAAATACAGTGTTTTTTTATTTCTCTCATTTTTATTTTGGAAGGAAACTTCATTAAAGACTTTACCTGGTATAGATCTTTGGTAATCTTGATTTCATCATGATTCTCTTTTGAAGTACTATTCTCCTTTTTTAAGATTCTCCCTGTGGTCATTATTTGACCACTTCCTGGAATTCAGTGCATTTCTTGACATTCACTTTTTCATTCATCTTGGATTGTATTCTTCAAGGGCATCTGAATCTAAGTTTTCTTTATTTTGGTATTTAAAAATACATAATTTAAATTTAAAAATTCTTTTAATTTATAATTTTTTTAGGTTTCATTAACAGACAGAGCTATTTCTGCTGCTTTGGGCTTCTGGGCAGACTCCTGATTGTAACATTCTATTAAGTCTTGCTTTAGTTTGAGTCCCCAAATCCTAATGTTTATTTATATATTTTATTTATTAAATTATTTTATTTATTTTATTTATTTTTTAATGTTGAGTGTGGAGCCCAACATGGGGCTTGAGCTCACAATCCTGAGATCAAGACCTGAGCTGAGATCAAGAGTTGGATGCCTAACCAACTGAGCCACCCAGGCGCCCCCCCCAAATCCTAACATTTAAATATTGAGGGCCAACTGTAAGGGAAATATTACTTTGATCTAGAAATCTGTCTGACAAGAGCTTTCATATTTTTTTAAAGTTTTTACTTTAATTCCAGTTAGTTAACATACAATATTCGTTTCAAATGTACAATATTAGTAATTCAACACTTCCATACATCACCCCGTGCTCATCACAAGTGCACTCTTTCATAACCCCATCACCTAAATAACCCACCCCCCCATCCAACCTCCCCTCTGGTAACCATCAGTTTGTTCTCTATAGTTAACAGTCTTTTTCTTGGGGCACTTGGGTGGCTCAGTTGGTTAAGTGTCTGCTTTCAGCTCGGGTCACGATCTCAGGGTCCTGGGATAAAGCCCCACATTGGGCTCTCTGCTCATCAGGAAATCTGTATCTCCCTCTCCCTCTTCCTCTGTGCTCTCTCTCTCTCTCAAATAAATAAAAATAGAATCGTTTTTAAAAAAGAGTCTTTTTCTTGATTTGTTTCTCTTTTTCCCTTTGCTTGTTTTATTTCTTAAATTCCACATGTGAGTGAAATCATATGGTTTTGTCTTTCTCTGACTTATTTCGCTTAACATTATACTCTGTAGCTTCATCCATGTTGTTGCAAATGGCAAGATTTCATTCTTTTTAATGGCTGAATAATATTCCTGTGTGTGTGTGTGTGTGTGTGTGTGTACACATATATACACCACATCTTTATCCATTCGTCTATTGATGGACACTTGGCTGCTTCCATAATTTGGCCATTCTAAATAATGCTGCTATAAACATAGGGGTGCATGTGTCCCTTTGACTTAGTGTTTTTGTATTCTTTAGTTAAATACCTAGTAATGCAATTGCGGGATCATAAGGTAGTTCTATTTTTAACTTTTTGAGGAACCACCATACTGTTTTCCACAGTGATTGCACCAGTTTGCATTCCCACCAGTTGTGCATGAGTGTTCCTTTTCTCCACATCCTCGCCAACACCTGTTGTTTCTTGTGTTGTTGATTTTAGCCATTCTGACAGGTGTGAGGTGATATCTCATTGTAGTTTTGATATGCATTTCCCTGATGATGAGCGATGATGAACATCTTTTCATGTGTCTCTTGGCCATCTGATGTGTTCTTAAGAGCTTTCATCCTTGAATGATGATTTCAATTAAGTGGCTTGCTCTCTTTTTTTCTTACCATTTTATATTCTTTTGTACTCCTGTTACCATTCCATTCACATTTTAGTGGTTTTCTTTTTAATTTTGCTTTCATATGAGATATCTTTTCCCTTAGTTCATTTCAGACTTAAAATATTTTTGTCTTGATCTGTGCTGTCCAGTATGGTAGCCACTAGCCACGTGTGGTTATTGAGCATTTGAAATGAGGCCCTTCTGATGTTTTTTTTTAAGTTTTCTTAATTTAAGTAATCTTTACACCGGACTTGGGGCTTGAACTCACAACCCTGAGATCAAGAGTTGCATGCTCTTCCTACTGAGCCAGCCAGGTGCCCCTGAAATGAGGCCTTTCTAAATTGAGATGTACTATAACTGTAAAATACACATTGGGTTTTGAAGCCTTTACATGGGGGGAAAAGAAAGAATGTAAAATATCAGTGATACTTTATATTGATTATATGCTATAATGACACTATTTTAGATACATTAGACAAAGTAAAATATATTATTAGAACTAATGCCACCTTTTCTTTTGACTTTTTTTTCATGTGCTACTAGATAATTTTTTATTACTTATATGGTCCACTTTTATGGCTTGCATTCTATTTCTCTTGGACTGTACTTATCTAGGTAGTATGAAAAGGTGATATTGCTTTCTTGAGAAGTAGTCATAAAATAAACCATTTATTTAGTCACACAAATTGTAGCTCATTGAAAAAAATGCATCTGTATACCTGGTTTCTAATGTGGGTATAGACCTTTCCATCCTTTCACCTGTTATTATAGCTCTAGTAACTCAAAATTTGTTTTTATTTATTAATGGCCATTATGGAATTATTTAGAAATAAATGAATCAGAGGGGCCTCGATACCTCTGTCGGTTAGGTGTCCAACTCTTGATTTTGGCTTAGGTCATGATCTCAAATCTCAACACAGAGTCTGCTTGAGACTCCCTCTGCTCCTCCCCCTGCTCTTTCTCTCTCTCTCTCTCTCAAATAAATAATTGAATCTGAAAACAGAGAAATAGACTTCTCTGAGTTCATTATTCCCAGCAACTGCAACTTTTAGGTAGTCTGTAGAACATCATACAATAATGATTGGGGTTTAGTCTCTGGAGAAACCTTAGAAAGCTTAGTAGCAAGGTTTTTCTTTCCCTAGTATGCCATTTTAACCAGCTTTTTTTTTTTTTTAAGATTTTATTTATTTATTTGACAGAGAGAGACACAGTGAGAGAGGGAACACAAGCAGGGGGAGTAGGAGAGGGAGAAGCAGGCTTCCTCCCAGCAGGGAGCCCGATGCGGGACTCGATCCCAGGACCCTGGGATCATGACCTGAGCCGAAGGCAGGCGCTTAACAACCGAGCCACCCAGGCGCCCCTTTTTTAACGAGCTTTTAAATATAGTTACTTTTGGGGACATGTGGCTGGCTCAGTTAATGGAGCTTGCAACTCTTGATCTCGGGGTTGTGGGTTCAAGCCCCAGGTCAAGTGTAGAGATTGCTTAAAACTAAAACCTTAAAAAAAAAAAAGTTACTTTTTAAACTTAAAATAATGGGGCACTCCCAAACTTACTAGAATAAATAATGATGGGGCTATGTCTTACTCATATGCCTCTCACCCCAAAGCATTTTGAGAAGCATAAATTCTCAAATGATTCCCTTCCATCCCCAAACTGCTACAAAATTTCTACACTGCTGAGCTCTAGAGAATAAATTTCAAAATAAGAAAATCATTGTTCTAATTATGAACAACAGTTACAGGAAGAGAAACAGTGGTCAGCAGCTGTTTCTTTATCTCTGAGTCCACTTTCCTCCTATCCTTTCTCTTTCATTTTGACTTGACTGTGTTAGGTTTTCTTCCTCCCAGTTCCTTGAAGAGTTAGGATTAAGCCCTCAAGCTAAAACAGGGGGAAAAATGTAAAAGAAGATATACCGCCCAGTGTTTAAAAATTACTCTTCCTCTCTTTGTGTCACAGACTCAGGCTGTCTTGTTTAAAACAGTAAGGAGCTATCCAAAGAAAAAAGCAATATTAGAGGTCTGTAATCCCATAATTACTATCAATTACTACATTCTTTAGTCAATTAGGACTAAGATTTTTCTGGAACCTATTTTTGTGAGTGGCCATGGACTTAAAAAGAAAGGCTTACCTAATTTACACTCCTTCTCATTCCTCCCACTTTCAGAATAGAAAATGATAGGGAGAAGGAAAGAATGCAACTGAATGTGTTTATTGGCTGTTGAATTTGACTCTTCTTTCCTGGTGTGTGTGTGTGTGTGTGTGTGTGTGTGTGTGTGTGGTGTGGACAGTGGAACATGATCTGGACCAGATCGACTACATTGACAGCTGTACTGCGGAGGACGAAGAGGAAGAGATGAGACAGCCCAAGGGGCTGGAGCCAGACAGCCTCAGTTCCCAGTTTATGGCGTATATTGAACAGCGGCGAGTCTCTCATGAGGTAGTACACGCTCTTAAGCCTAAATATGTTGCTGTCCCCTAGTAAAAACAGTTCATGATGGTATAAATTTCTGTCATATTAGTGATTTATTGGTTTAGGCCTAATTATTTGTTTTATAATGGTTAGCCCCAATTTTATGATTGAATTTTTCAGATTTATTGTAAAAAGTCAGACAGTAGTCTCAAATAGGGTTTAGCTTTATTTTTCAAATAAAAAGATTTGAAAGAATCTTGAAGATTTCAGAATCTTGAAGAAGGAATAGGAAGAGTCCCTAAATGTAATGCTTTTCATTCGTTATGGTTCTTACCGTTTTTTTATTGTTACTAACTGCTACATCCTAGCTTCATTAGTAATGATAAGAGTCGAACCAAACTGCAGACTTTGGAGCAACGTACAAACTTAACCATAGAATTTTTATAATGCATTTAATTATATTGGAGCTTTTATGCTAAGTCGCACAGAATATAAATTGTTTGCCATTATAGTTCTTGGGTGTCTCTTATAGTGGAGCATTGAGTTGCCTTAGAAAACAAATGAGCATTCAGCCCACTGTAGAATCGCTGCCAATCCCCCAAGGGGCTCCAGTGGAAATTGCATTCTTCAGCATATCTAGTCAGCATAATGAAACGGCTCCACTTCAGTGTGTGTGATGTTAATGTCTGGAGTTGGTCCCAGGCTCTGAGCAGGGGTTATTTGAGAAACACTTGGGGCCTTTTTGGAGAGTGATGTATTTAGCCTTTTAGAAATAGAGGATAATCACTCAAGTGGGATGTGTTGTGGAGTGATATTACCATTCTTAAAAAAAAAAAAAATCCTCAGTTTTCCTGTCTGAAGACTTTTGACCACAGTATTTTTTGTTGGTGTTCAGAAGACACTCTTGTATTTAAAGTTGGATAAAGATATTTAAATCAAAGTCCTGCAGCCCAGAAATAGCAGTGTACCAGGAGATTAATGAAACTACGTATGACGCAGGATATGAACATTCTTACTAGAACAAAGGGCGACTACTTTGCAAAAAAAGTGCAATTGTACATTGTAATGCACATTGTAATCTTAAAGGGAGTCTTTTTCCTTGTGGTCTTTCTCTTTGATCATTTTATGTATAGATGAGGTATTTCTACTAAAAGTAAAAATGCCTGTTATACTACTACTGGAAATTGTATCATTTTTTAATCCTTCAGGCATCCCTTACATTTGATTTTTTTTTTTTTTTTTTTTTAGATACCCTTTTTGGATAAGTTGTTTTCTATCCCTTAAAGAATACCCATTTTAATGATTATTTTTGTTGTTGAAATCAGATTGTATTGCTTCTATAGATTCTCATTTGACAAAATAAATGCTGTAATAACCTATAAGCCTCTACCTTTGATTTATAATTTTATTTCTCAGTATGTGGTCCATATCACTGAGGCCAATTGAATTTTCCTCAGTAATGTCTTTTTGAAATGACCCTTACCCTTTAGTTTATAAATAAATTAAATTGTCAATATTCTTCTTTTGGTTAACACCATATTTTTACCATGAATAGAAATTAATTTTTGCTTTATCTTAATATTCCACCAATATCCCCAGGACTGTTTGTATCACTAACATAAGTAACAATTTATGATGAAGAATGTAATCTGCCGGAGGGCATCTGGGTCGCTCATTCGGTTAAGCGTCTGCCTTCGGCTCAGGTCATAATCTCAGGGTCCTGGGATCGAGCCCCATGTTGGGCTCCCTGCTCAGCGTGGAGTCTGCTCCTCCCTCTCCCTCTGCTACTCCTCCCCACCCCCACTTGTGCTCTCTCGCATGGTCTCTCTCTCTCAAATAAATAAATAAAATCTTTTTTAAAAAATGTAATCTCTCCAATGATCTCCGTATTACTAGAAATACACAAAAGAGACTGAGCACAAGTCAGGGTAGGACAGGTGGGAATTCCTGTTCTGGATGGAAATTTGTGGCCCCTAAGATCCTCTCAAGTTCTAACATCTTATCATTTAGTTAATATTACTGTATGGTCAGTGTAATTTATATAATACAGTGAGAAGGAAATCTACTTTTTTAAGAGTGTCTTGGTATAGTGTTTGGAATAGTGTTTTGTTTATCAAAGCAGTAATATAGCCTATAATGAATACTTTTATTTTATTTCTTCCTTTTTTAAAAGATTTTATTTATTCATTTGAGGGAAAGAGAATGAGAGAGAGAGCATGAGAGGGGGGAGGGTCAGGGGAGAAGCCGACTCCCCACTGAGCAGGGGGCCCGACACGCGACTGATCCCAGCACTCCAGGATCAGGACCCGAGCAGAAGACAGTCACTCAACCAACTGAGCCACCCAGGTGCCCTAATGAATACTTTTAAACATAAAAATTCACATTTGAAAAAAAAAATTCACATTTGAAGATTTTGTTAAAATATTTTTTTAGTGTAATCTACAGATCCTTAAATGCCAAGTCGAATGTGGACTGTGCAGTCACAGTGTTGTGGATACATCTGTTAAATTGATTTATTTCTGCTTTTTTGGCCTAGGGTTCACCCATAAAGCCAGTACCTCTGAGGGAGTTTCAAAAAACAGAGGACATGAGAAGATATTCACATCAAAACAGGTTTGAAAAAACCAATTCTCCTCATTTGTTTCTGTCTTTAAAAGTCATTAATAAGAGCATGAAATGGTTTTGGTTTTGTGCAGTCCTATGTATGATGAAGATGTTTAGACACTGTATTTACAGCTGAGTGACAGTGTGCTTTGTGCTCATGTAATAGAAAAAGAAGTAAAATTGATTTATTGATTCTAAATTCAGATTGCCTAAACCATTATAATTATTTGATTTGAAGATACTTAATGGCAGCGAGATTTTATGGTGATATGTCTGTAGTTATGCATAAAGAAAGCTAAATGAATTTCAGGAGTCCTGAATTTTTTTTGCTTAAACTTTTGACTAGAAACAGGGAGTTAGAGACAGCAATATGCATCCTCCTTCCTATCTCAACTGATGTGATCTTTTCACTACACTTAGTACCTCACAGAAGATTTCTAAAATTGACTTGACTACCAGAGTACTACTGCTTATTCTTAAATTCCAAAAGTTTCTTGCCACACACAATATCATAATAGTTGAAAAATTCACAGCCTTTGGGTCCTTGCTTCCTCTCTGTTTTTATGAAGTCTTAAAGCAGTAGACTTGATAAACTTGTTCTTAAGCAACAGTAAATTTCCTTTGTAGAAAGTGTTGTACATAGATCTTTACTTATACTTGACGGGATAGTAAAATTGTTTAGGAAACTGAGATACAGATGGGTAAAGAAAATGTGGGGAGAATAGTGCAAGAAAAAATCTCATAATTGGCCTTTTATAGTCTCATCAGTTAGTTCTTGGGGATTTAGTTAAATTTCATATCTTTGAAATTTATCTCAGAATGGCTTTTTAGTTGCCATGAGTCCTTATATTGAGGGTGTGGTCTTTTGAGATTCCTGTTTTGCACAGGGGTTTGCTAGTGTGTGTTCCCATTTTGGGTGTTTCCATGCTTTATCTCCTGTCGCTCTTACCTCCTGCATCCATCCAAGATCTCTAGAATTTAATAGAAACTCTCAAGATGAAACCCAGCTTTTTTTTGTTTTTCTCAGTTACTTTATATATTAGTTTTCTAATACTCATGTAACAAATTACCACAAAGTTAGTGGCTTAAAACATAATATCTAAGTTTATAATATCTCAGTTCTGTAGGATAGAAATGTGGGCAAGCCTTCATTCTGCCTTCAGTTTCCCCTTAGGGTCTCGTAAGCCAAAGTCACGGCACTGGCTGGCCTAGATTCTTACCTGCAGACCCTGGGGGAGAACCCACTTCCAGGCCCATGCGGGTTGTTGGCAGAATTCAATTGCATATAGTTATAGCACTGAGGTCCCTGTTACTTTGCTGGTTATCAGCTGGGACTCGTTTTTAGCTTCTGGAGTCTGCCCACATTCCTTGGTTCATACCTCCCTCCATCTTCAAGTCAGCAGTGGCGAGCCATTTTGAATCTCTTCTCCCATTTTCACTCTCTCTGATTTCCCTTTCTGTCACATCCCACAAACTCTCTTGCTTTCCTCTTCTGTTTTTTCCCCCACTTTTACTGAGAAATAATTGACATAAGTCACTGCATAAGTTTAAGGCATACAGCGTGATGGTTTGATTTACATATATTATGAAATGATCACAATAGGTTTAGTTAATAGCCATCATCTCACATAAATACAATAAAAAATTTTTTTCTCCTTGTGATAAGAACTTTTAGGGTTTACTCTCTTAACAACTTGCCTGTGTATCACACAGCAATGCTAACTATAGTCATCATGTTATATACATTACATCCCTAGTACTCATTTATCTTATAGCTGAAGTTTGTAGCTTTGACCACTTCCCTCCAATTGCCCCCCCCCCGCCGCCCTCTTCTGCTTTTAAGGGTTCCCATGATTACATTAGATCCACCTGGATAATTTTCCCATTTCAGGGTCAACCAGTTAGTAACCTTAATTTCATCTGCAAAGTCCTTTTTGACATGTAACATATTTACTGGAGTAACACCAGGGGGTGGAAGTCATAGGGGCCAAAAATCTGTCTACCTAACCTTAACCCAGCATTGCTGTTTTTACCACTTTTTTAGAAATTCTTGCTCTGCCAGCACTGAGGGAATCTTCCCTTGTTGGAGCCTGTGCTTTCAGACCTAGTAGTTTTGCATTTATATTCATAGTCACCCCACTATTAAGTGAAAGACTGGTGGCGCCCGGGTGTCTCAGTTGGTTAAGTGTCTGCCTTTGGCTCAGGTCATGATCCCACGGTCCAGGGACTGAGCCCCACATTGGGCTCCCTGCTCAGCGGGGAGTCTGCTCCCTCTCTCTCTGCCCCTCTCCCCACTTGTGCTCTCTCTCTCAAATAAGTAAAATCATTAAAAAATAAAAAAAAAGGACAGACCTTGGATTCAAACTCGGTTACAACTAATTCTAAAGTCCATGACTTTAACCACTACCCCATGTTGCTTCTCCCAGACTATTCACAGTACTGGACTCACTTGTGTCTCATTCTTTATTGGTTATATCTCAGCCAGAAATCTTACCCTACCAATCCACTCTTCTCTTTTCTTGAAAAATTTTGACTAAGAATGTACTGCCTAGGAGTGCTAATAAGATAAAGGTTGGGAAGGATTAGTAAAAAATTTAAGGAAGTTTTTTTTCCAGCTTCAGTGTTATTTTAAACCTTCTCTAAGGGAGTTATTAAGTAATTTGTTCTATACCTTTAAAATAAATATAATTTATCTGTCAAAACTTTTTTAGGGGGTGGTATTTTAATTATTTTAGTAAAGGTAAGATATATGGCTATAGGTCATATAAAACAGGTTTTTTTTTTAACTTTTTTTTGATGCCTAGAAATTAAAAAAAAAAAAGAATTTTGTGAATACTTCAAAGATGTGGAACCAATATAAGAAAAGAAAAGATATAAGAAGAGAAAGACAACAAGAGTGTGGCTTAAGTTTTGCTTTTTTACATATTACCTTTTTTTCACTTTAGGGAAGTATAAGGTAGGCCAGTATTTCTCAATAGTAGAGTTCTAGCACCACTCTTCAGTGGATATTTGAAACATGTTTATCTGATTTGGGAACTGGTTGCCAAAATGATTATAGGTGTTACTGGCAGGCACCTATAATGTGCAGGACAATCTTGTACAACAAAAAAATTGTCTGAAATGTTGTGACACTCCTATTGAGAACCATATTCATAGATGAAAAGGCCATATGGCATGAAGTAGCATGGTGGCACCAAGGAGCAACCAAGCTGTGATGGGCCAACATTAGCACCTGATGATTGGCTTGAGGGAGCTGTCTGTTCTCACTGCCACTGTTATTCTTCCATATGCCATGCTTCACTCTTTACTGCCATCTTTAACTTTTCACAGCTTAGTTTTTTCCATTGTAGGTAATTGTTTTCTATATGTGTGCCCATATGCTTTTAAGTCTCCCTGCTCTTTGCTTTCTCCTTCCTACACTTTGCCTCTGTAGAGTGGGGAAGTGTGGTATAGTAGAAGCCACTAATCTCCAAGTCAGGGGGCTTGAATTCTAATCCAGGCTCTGGCCCAAGTAGCTATCATTGAACTTCTGAGGGCCTTAGTTTTCTCTCTTGTAAAGTTAGTGGCGTGGACTCTATGATTTCTGAGGTACCTCCAGTTCTTGTAGGCTGCATACCTAGAAGATGAGAAAGCAGACTACTACCAAGTCAGATAAAGAATTACTGGCTGCATCACTTGGGAAAGTTACTTAACTTCCATGCCTCAGCTTCTCAACTGTAGAATGAGGATTATAATACTTCTACTCCTAAGATTACATGAAGAATAATTGAGAAACACTGGGTATAAAATACTTCACAGGGCATATGTAGTACATGGTGGGAGCTCAAAGATTGTTAGTTTCTATGTGCCTCTGAAAAACATTGCCCAAAAAAATGATATGGATTGTAGTTGATAAATGCAGAAGAGGTATTGATTACACATGTACATCAAGAGGAAAAGTCCCAATTTTAAAGAACAAGAAGATTCTTAAAAAGACGTTTTCTAAGAAGATCTCCGTAGGTTGGAATCTATAGAAAAAGCTTGAAGTAAGGAATTAGTATATGATATTGCTAGAGAAAAGATTCCATAGTGGGTATGTTTCTGAAATTGGGTAAGAGTCCTGAAAGCCAGGTTGAAGAATTTGTATTATTATTAGTTGGTAATAAGAAACAACTGGAGCTTTGGGGGATTTGTTTTTATTTCCCTAGTAAGATACTGATTTAATGCATTTAAATCAGCCTGACAGGCTAGTAATCATAGTTTAAAATTTCAGGTCCTAAATGTCACAACGTCACTGCTCCCAACATTGTTAGGTGAGACACAGATGAGTAACAGACTCTTGAAACACTAAATCCAACTCAGGAAAAAGATAAATACCAAAATGTAAGATTTAGCACTAATAAAACTAAGAAGCAACTTTTACTGTTTTTTTTTAAGCATCAAATCAGGTTTCATCTCTTTCTTAAAAATAAAAATCAATAGAATATGTACTTTTATTATTAAAATTGCTCTATCAGTTGAAAATGGGAGTTAGGAATGCTTTATAAGAACAGTTATCAAGTTCTGTCATCTTCCAGAATTCTGTGGATAAAATGACTTTGTATATAAAATGATCTTTACATGAATCTTGTTTCAATCATGGTAATGAAGACAATTATGTATGCTATAAAGAAATGATACCATTTGAAAAGTGATCTCAAATATCTGTCTGGTCAGCACTGGCTGACATAGACCATTGTTAGCTATCTGTAGCTTGATCAGTGATATCGTCACGTGAAATGTGAGTTGAAGACATCAGGTATTCCTGTAGCTTAATTTAATGACTTGGGCTCAGGTTTACAAAATGCAGTCAGTCTTTCATTGCTGACCAGACAGTTTGCCTATTGATTAATAGCAGGCTACATTAACAATAAAATTTTACTTAGTTTTTATATATCTGTCTATTTTATCAAAGAATTTTTCTGTCTTTTTTTTTCTTTTTGGGTCAGGGTTCCAGTTGAGCCATCTTCTGTCACGTCACTATCACCAAGTCACAATCAGGTAAAAAAAAATTTTTCTGTTTTAGTTTTGATTTTTTTTAAAAACTAAGATGATTTTCTATTTTCATAACACTTAAATTACCATTAATTGCCAGATACGTGTAAATTTCACTACCTGTCTCCTTCAAAATACAGTTGATATAACATGTGCACCTCATACTTACTAACAGTGTTTTTAGACACCAGACAGACAGTAAATCTTTACCGACATGATGGCTCTATAATACATACAAGAACAAGAACACAGTGCAAAGATGGGAAAAGATGAGCAGTAAACACATTGAAAGAAATGCTAGGTGACTGCAAAGTAGAAATTGCTTGGGTCAGCAGTAGTTTCCTGAATTGATTCGGAATATTGGCAAGTTGACCTTTAGCCCCACTTGCATGTGCAAAATACTGTTGTTCCAGTTATCACATGCAGACTTGGAACTTCATCGGAGAAGAGAACAGTTAGTAGAGCGAACTCGGAGAGAGGCCCAGCTTGCTGCCCTACAGTATGAGGAGGAGAAAATAAGGACCAAGCAGATGCAGAGAGATGCTGTCCTGGACTTTGTCAAGGTGAGATTTTTGCCATATTTCATTGAAATTCCTAACGTATTTTAGTGCTTATTTGTTTTGCTGAGGCTATCAGTGTTCATCTTAAAGTGTCAGCTTTCTTATGTCACCATAAGGAATCTTGAGCAAGTAGTGTAATGGTCTCCTACTTGTGATTAGATGAATTGTCCTCCTGTAGGTAGACTGAGAAGTGATCATCTTGTTCTGAGGACAATAGTCTCTTCCTCTTCATTAGCAGTCTGTCTTTAGACATCTCACTTTACTGTCCAGCTGCCATTTCCTCAATCTCTAGTACCTTAATAAAGATCAGTAAGACTGTGAAAGTGCCACGTAAACCTTAAAGTGCTATGCACGTGTAAACTCTTGTTACCCAAGCTCGTCTCTAACTTCCTCACTCTGCTGAGCACCAAATTTTTGCAAGGTTAACAGGCTTAATACTTCAGAGTCAACTTTGAGTCTTCCCTTTCTTTTCTCTCCACACCTACTCAGGTAACAACCCCTCTTAATACTTCTTTCTTTTTTTTAAATTTACAGTCTCTACAGTTGCATCTAAACCTGTTTCTTTTCTTTTCTCTGTTCTTTTTCTTTTCTTGCCTGTGTCACTTAAAGTCTTTTTGTTCGGAAATCACATTGGATTTTTCCCTTCATGATTAAATAACTCTTTATTTTTTTGTCTGTCTAATATCTGTCTCTCCCATTTATCTGGAAGCCCCATGAAGACAGGGAATATGTTTGTCTTGTTTATTTACTACTACATCCCTAGATCTTAGCAGGTTTTAGCCCGTAGTAAGGCTCAGTAAATATTTGTTAAAGGAATGATTGAATGAATGAGTCACTCTTGTCCTCTAAAGCTTTCTCTCTTGTGTTTCATAACTCTAGCCAAAGGCCATCTTTAAGTACCAGACACATGATAAAATTCTTTTTTTTTTCCAAATGTATCACACCCAGGATGATGCTCTCTGATGCTCAGACAGGATGACAATTTCCCTAGGCTAAATACTCAGCTAGTTAGTGGCAGAGCACAGGTTCTGATCAAGACAGGCTGAACAGAAAATGGAAATAAGGTTGGCAGAAAATGAAAAGTTTCTTTAAAAAAAAAAAGGGTGGCTCCAAACCCTAATCTGTGACCACAATGCTATATTGACTGTCAGTAAATAATGACAGCTAACACATACTGTATCCTAACCTAAGCACTGTTCTGTGCATTCTACATTAATTCATTCATTTAGCTTGCCTTCTGTAGAAGCCACATAGCAAGTAAGAGACAGTCACATTGTAGATGGTCTTGATTAAATGCTAAATTAGAGTTTGATCTTGATCTATTAGGTAGAAGAGAACAGTTAGAAGTTCTGAAACAGGAGCAAAACAAAGGAGAGATACTTCCGAAAAGCTAATCTACTCGTTTTAGAATATGTTAGAAAGAAAGAGATGAGGTAAATGAAATAGAGAGTAATTGCAATAATTAGACTAGGGTGCAAAATGAAGGCATAGAACCAGGTGATTTCTGAGAGGCAGTGTTACACAGTGGTAAAAGCTTAGCCTCAGAAATAGTCTGAATTTGAATCTAGCTTAGCTACTCATTATGTGCTCGACTTTGGGAAAGTTACTGAGTCATTCTGTGCCTTTAATTTCCCTATAGGTGTGATATTTAGTTGTTAAATATTAACTCAGAATTATTATGGGTGCACCTAATACTTTTACTAGTGTGGTGAGTGCCGCACCCCCTACCACCACAATGGATTTTATAAATTAGAAATTTGAAGAGAAGCATCTTTATGTTTTATACATAAATGTACTGAATGTTGAATAAATCGTTGAAGATGAGTGAAAAAAAGATCCCAAAGCAGGATTTTGAGGCTAACAGAATAGTTTGAAAAGGAGGCTAGTTTTGTGGAAAGAATATAGGACTCAGCGTCAGAAGATGTCAGTACAAATCTCAGTTATGCTACTTGCCAACTTTGTGAACTTGCACATATCATTTAACCTCTCTTGTCCTTAATTCTTTTATCTTTAAATAAATATGATTATGATGTTCGTTTATCTCCGAGAGTAAGAAGAATCACTTAAGACAATATGTATAAGAATACATTGTAAAACAGTGACTATAGAGATGGTATAATATTATTATTTGACATAATAATAGAAATTAGCAAATTGAGGAAAAGAGCCAGTTAGCATGGGAATTTGTGGGTTTGTTTTTGAGCATGTTGAACATAAGGTGACGGTGGGTTTCCAAATAGAGTTTCCACAGGCAGTTGAAAATGCAAACCTGAAAACTGGCTGAGAGGAAAGAGCTAAAGGTGTTAACGCTAGACAAAGAGAGAATGATTTCATTGAGAGAATATAGTGAGAGATCACCATTCTGGTTGTGAATGTGTGAGTGCATGTACATATAAGAAACATACATTTTGTATTTCTATTTATAGATGCTTATAGGCCTATGAAATACTGTCTGTCAGTGTATCGCCTTCCTCGTTTAAATTGTAAGCTGTTGGGGCGCCTGGGTGGCTCAGATGGTTAAGCGTCTGCCTTCGGCTCAGGTCATGATCCCAGGGTTCTGGGATCGAGTCCCACAT